GGGAAGAAGCTCCTTGCTGAGCACATGGCTAATGGCTGCTGCCCCAAAATGGAGCATCCGGGGCAAGATGGAGGGCGTAGCCCTCGCCCTTTCAGTAGTTTTGATGTGGTTGTGGGAGGCAGCAAGTACAGGCATTTACCTATGCCTCCATCTTGGTTCTCCCGCTAGCTTTTAATCTTAAAAAACAATGTTTCCATCCTTTTCTGTTGCTAGTTTAAGATTCAGAGTCTAGTGACTTCATGAGGGTGAGGGGGAGAGGAATCAAAATTAAATGAAAAATACCTTTGAAATATTTTACCTTTCTGGATTTAATTTTTATTTTATTTTATCCTTACCTGAGGATATGTTTATTGATTTTAGAAAAAGAGGAAGGGAGAGAGAGAGAAAAACATTGATGAGAGAGAAATACTGCTCAGTTGCCTCCTATTTGTGACATTGAACCTGCAACCTAAGTATGTGCCCTGTCCGGGAATTAAACCTGCAGCCTTTTTGTATATGGGAGGATGCTCCATTCAACTGAGCCACCTGGCCAGGGCCAGTTTTTATATTTTATATATAAAAATAAGTTTACTATATTGTCCTGTAAAATAATGGTGTAAGTATTCTCGTTTAATTAAATGTCAATTAGATAAGCAGAATTTAAGAATATAGGTTAATGATTGAGCTGGCATGAGAGCCATTTTTATGAGTCCCTTTTTCTCTGGCAGCCTTACCTACAAGAATTTTTTAAAAACATATTTTTATTGATTCCCTACTAGGGAACAAGTCCACAACTGGGCATGTGCCCTGACCGGGAATTGAACCCTGTAACCTCTCGGTGCATAGGAGGATGCTCAACCAACTGAGCCAGACCACTCAGGGCACCCACAGGAATTTTTAAATTCTCTATCTTTTTCTATGTATGGTAAGAGGAAGGGGATATGTAAAATGTTTTTACATTTTAAAGACAAAGTAGATCTTGAGATGATTCTTAAATTCTTTTTCTAAAATAGTAAGCCTGTTTTGTACCAACCCTTAAAGCTCTTGGTTTATTTTCAGTTAATGTGTCATTTATGTTTTGAATTATTAGAGTTGCTGAAGCATCTGTATTTTGTGTGAGAAGGTGGGTAGGTAAGGTGAACAATGACAGATAGTACCTGAAAGTATTTCAAAATGGCATTTCTTTCCTTAAAAAATTTTTTGAAATATTATAATTTATAAAAAAATATCAGACACCCATCTACCCAACAAGGTTAAACAAATATAAAAATTTTACTTGCTTTAATTTTTCTTTTTATCAAGAAAATGTCATAGAGACAGCCAAAGTTCTAACTCCACATTCTTTTCCCTTCCCAGGTAGTAACCATTATCTTGAACACATCAATTTCTATATCTTAAACTTTTCCATATGGTGTCTGATCTTATCTTCGTGTCTGATATAGGCTAATCTAGTGTATATGCAATGATCTGGTTTAAAATAACCAACTTTACTTACTGTGTTTTAACTAATTATTTTCTTCTCTTTAGGAACATCTTCCAGAGCTCTTTGTACATTTTCAGTCTCAGAGTTTTCATACCTCAATGTATGCATCATCCTGGTTTCTGACTATCTTTCTTACGACTTTTCCACTACCAATTGCAACAAGGATATTTGATATCTTTATGTCTGAGGTAAGCTAATGGGCATTCTGAGCAAGGAATCATTGGGTTAATTAGAGCAGGGCAGTGAGGAGAACAATAAAGGAGCCAGGTGTTCCATGCTAAACTGCTTACATGGATGATCTCATTTAAACCTGTAACACCCCTATCAGGTACTGTTCATTTCCCCATATGATTGATGAGGGAACCAAGACGTAGAGAAATGTTAAGTAGCTAGCTTGTGTATAGACACATAGCATATAAGTGATATAGTAACCAGGATTCAAATCTAGGCAATCAAAATCTGGAGCCTACACTCTTAAACTTATGTATGACCTCCTGATTGATTTAGTAAGAATTAGTGAGTGATAGAATTTGCCTTACACTTAATATGTTGCAATGCATCTGCTATCCAAAGAGCCAGAAGTGATGAATCTAATTAATCTAAGTTTCTTCTTTTCCACGAACACCTTACAAGTAGCCCTTTAATTGTCATTGACATGTGGTAGGTGATCCTTTGTCTTCTGTATTTTGGATGAGAATATGGTAGGAAGGTAGGATAGGTGAAAAGTGGTAGATAGCTCCTATAGGTATTATTAATATTTTAATTACCTCTTAATCAAACCCAATGTTAATTGTTATTAATTACATCTTGGGAAGATTAATTTGTATTACCTAGCTAAATTAGTTTAGTCTGGAGCCAGCAAACTGTGATTTGTGTACTGGTTTACATGCCAAATCTGTCCTTCCATTTGTTTTTGGAAGTAAAATTTTCTTGGAACACGGCCATGCCCATTTGTTGATATGTCTGCTTTTGGGCTACAATGGCTGAGTTGAATATTTATGACAGTGACTGTATTGCCTACAAAACCTAAAATATTTACTATCTGACTCTACAGAAAATGTTTGCCAACCTCTAGTTTAGATTCCTGAATGTTTGCCTTATTATTCTTTTGAATGATTAGTTTTTGTTGATGGAAGAGTAAGACAAATTTGGCTTTATATAATTTGTTTCCTCAGGGTTTAGAGATAGTGTTTCGAGTAGGATTAGCACTTCTTCAAATGAATCAGACAGAACTGATGCAACTCGACATGGAAGGGATGTTACAAGTAAGTCAGTTCATGATTTATTGAATGCCTTTAGATTTTACTATTAATTAGTTAATAATAAACAGCACTAAGTATTTCTTATGTTTTTCTTTTATTGTTTCTTAGCACTTTCAGAAGGTCATTCCACATCAGTTTGATGGAGGTCCAGACAAATTAATTCAGGCAGCTTACCAAGTCAAGTATAACTCAAAAAAAATGAAAAAGTAGGTATTTTATATTTCGTTTTTTAGTAATAGGGATTTGTTGAAGCATATAGGAAATGAAATAAAAGTGGTAAAATATTCTAATAATAAGTTCAGTTTTCCTCCTCAGTTTATACAACTATAGTACTTTATTTGGTAGTAATGGTTTTATTTATTTATTTATTTTAATTTAATTTTAT